TCCGACCCTAGAAACTATGAAACTATGAAACTATGAAATCTGAATCCGAAGCTAATACTAGCTGCTTCACACAGACCTAGCAGCCAGGGGGCAGGTCATCTGTCTAGGGGTGGAGCTAACCTTGTGGCCCTTGGTAGCTCACCAAAAGTCGTTAAGCAGCCCTCTAGCTTAAATTATTGCCTACTTTAGCTCCAAGAAGCAAGTGCAGACAGAGGAAGCCAGAGGAGGAAGGGGCAGACTACAGCAGTGGCAGCTGGAGCCATAGAGAGAACAGCACCTGGACCAGGGAGTCCAAGGGCCACAGGCCTTGGGGGATGGATATGATGTACAGGCCGCTTGGTGAATGGCCCTGAGCTAAAGTAAAGAGTGACTGAGGTCTTGAACCCTTACAGCATTTGTGTACCTGTTTGCTTCAGCCATCACATGTCCCTGCACACACAGAGCAGCTCCAGAGAAGGGTGAGTTTAAGCTACCAAGGAATCTGGGCAGGTCAGCACTGACCCTGGCAGGCCTACATCAGCTGGGCCGCACGATCCTATTTCCATGAAGAAGCAGAGTACATGACAGAGTGCATGTTCAAAACTGATGCCAGAGAACCTGATGCCAGGAAACAGCTGAGCGCAACTTATATGGTTCAAAGGAAGCTGAAGAGGACAGTAGCTCATACGAAGGGACCCACCATGAAGTGATTATTTAAAAGGCAGCTAGTGCAACCCGTCAGAATCTCTTCTGCCCAGCCACAATTTGCACATTGTAACCAAACTGGCTTTTGTGCAGAAGGGGTGCCTGCAAAGAAAATATCAGTTGCTTTCAAATTTACCTCTGGATGAGCCAGTTTTTCTTTGTCTTTAGAATATTTTTTGTTCTCTAGATCTTCTTGAAGCTGAAAAAGAAATTGTAAGTACTGAGCACTCAGATACAAGGGTGTTATAAAAGGCACAGGGAGTTTATATGGCTGCTATCTTGTACAAAACAAGGTCCTTGGCTGATTTTTTTTTGTGGGCGACTACAACTCATGATTCACACTGAAAGCAGAGACTGTCTTAAGTGCCAGTAGAGAATATTTCCATTACAGTCAAGAGAGTTCATGTCAGCATGGGGTGTATGGATTTAGTCACATACTTTCATTAACATTAATAGGAACTAAGTACCCAGGACATCTGAGCACTGTGAAGAAAATTTAGAGCCAGATCCTCAATCAGGGAATGTCTGTTTCATGAGGTGGAAGCCTTTCTTTAGGTCTATCACATTGTGGTGTCATCATGCTTTCACATGTATGATTAACATATATCCTACTTTACAATGAGCCTTATTCTGCTGACTACTTATTCAGACCTACGTTTAATTAGTTACATGTTTATTTCTTTGTTAATCAGAAGGTCAAGATAATTTTAATGTGCTTTTCATGTACAGAGCTCTGTGCAATACTAAAGGGACTCCAGCTGGGCTGCAAGAACTTGGTTCTTTATTAGAGCCAAGTGCTCAGTGCTGCTGCTTGCAGCCATGTGGTTCAGTGTGCGCTTAGAGCAGGGGTGGGCGAAGTGCAGCCTGCGGGCTGGATGGGGCCCGCCAGGCCAT